TTTTTAATTATTAAATATTCAAAAATATTTTTAAGATTATTAAATATTATAATATTAATTTTTTAAAATTATTAAATATTTAAAAATTTGCTAATATTTATTTTTATAAAATTTAATTTAAAAATTCTCAGTATATAAATATATTTTTAAAATCAATTTTACTATGGTGGAATCAAATTATCATATCCAACCTAATAATTTAAAATTTGATAAATTTGAATTGACTTATCGAAACAAAATATTTTAAGAATGATAGAAATTGAAATCAAAGTAATTCAAATACCAAGAATTTAAAATTCCTTGAATTTGTAAAATTCTTCACACACCATGAGTGTTTTTTTTAATATTTATATTTAAATACTCTAACATCTTAAATAATTTATTAATATTTATACCTTTTATCATATTATATAGTAATTATATATATTTTATGTGTAAACTAATATGATAATTTATATTTTCGAACTCGACATTGTATGCTTGTTGATGTTTGTTTGAGACTATTAAAATAAATTTGTTGTTAAAAAACCGAAATTAATTAAATGAAATAGCAGGTCGGTGGTGAAAGGTATATATGAACAAATAATTTATGAATCCTGAGTTTTATTTATTTTGTGTTAACCCTCAATCATCTTTTTCAATACACTAGTTCTCTACCAAATAGGTCCTACACTAGTTCGGTGGGAAGGCAATTGTCATATCAATATGTTGGATTGTAATTATCTATTCTGTTTTGTTTTTTTATCAAAGCTACTTTGATTCAAAAATAAAGATTCCTCTCATTTATATATCTTAATTTGAACTTAGTTATATGAATAGTCAAACTAGGTGATTTAGCTGGCATCCATTATCTTGGCCACTCTAATTTGCCTTCAGCATATCTGGTGTCTAGTTACACAACTTGGTACAACTTCAGAGTTGGTTTGAAATGTACCATCATATTTATCACTGGGTAAAGATATCCAATTGCCCAGAAGAGAGAGTTGCATTATGGAGGGGGTGAAAGGGTGTCAGTGTGAGCCGATGGTTGTCAAATCTGCAGGCCGACCGACAGTGGGTAAGGCCGAAGGGTGTTTTTCAGGTGCTACTGCCGAGGCACGAGGGACCGATGCGTGGATAGTATGGGACTGGTGCGACCCTTGAGTTTGCGTATTGGTGACCTGAGTAGGTTTCCATGAGGTGTCTTGATTCCTTAGTGCCTCATTCTCAGCTTTCAAGGCCGAAAGCTCCCTAGCGTCTTTTTCTCGCTGTTGTTTCATAGCCTCCATCTCTTGTTTCAATAGACGGACGGTTTCGGAAAGGTTGGTTTCATCCACCACCTCGACATGTTCTTCTTCGTGTTGCTGATCTACCGTGTTCGTCCTCCTTGTTATCGCCATTGTCTTGCTCGATTAATCTTCTAAGATCGTCTCAGTTCGGCCCCACGGTGGGCGCCAAATGTACCTGTCTGAAGGGCACACTAAGTCTTCTAGTAGTCCGAAGGCCGAACGAGACTCCCGATCCAGTAATCCGATACGCTGAAGAGGGGGTTGGTACCTGCAAAAGGCACTCCAACGCTCAAGTCAGGACAAGCTCGAATCTCTAGGATAATTAATGAACAGTGACGTTACCTTTTGTCCTGAGCTATTTATACTGTCATTTATGGGCTCGGACCCCCTGGGCCTCACAACATACTTACCGTATTAGGTAATACACCCTAATCAACTAATTAACCCCTAATTACTTGATTAAAGGTAATAAGTGACGACAGGCCAATCCAGGTGGCCGATTGGCATTCGGCTGTCTGGTTCTGCCATTCAATGGCCGACAGAGTGGTGGCCGACCTCCCTACCCGTACAATATATATATATATATATATATATATATTTTTTTTTTGTTGAATTATGCTCCCAGACTTTGAAACTTA